GGAATGGAAAGAATAAGAGATACATCTTTATTATACTAATACAATGAATTCAGGAATATCCTGTTATTTCTCTAATTCTTTACTAGGTGAGAGTGTTCTAACATAACCCCAAGAGACACAGACCCCAAGAGAAAGCTTTAACTTGGACACAGTCACAGATGAAAAGGGACAGTTCCAATCTAGGGTTTACATTTTGATGTATTTACTTCTGAATCAGGGCAATGTCAAAGACTCATTTTGATTTTGATCCTTTATTTCCTGCAGAAATTAAACTTTCCTGAATGGATTTATGCTTTATCTGCTCTAGGAAAATTACAGTCTAGGAACATTAGTCTTGAACTATTGTTGATAGCCCTTTTTTCTTATTCCATATCAGAGAGTCATCAAAGCCCTTTTGTTTCTTTCTTTATTAGATTTCTCATGTATTTCAGTCTAGCTCAGCTCAATAAACACCTAGTGCCTCCTTTATGCCAGATACCATGCTCTTGGCTTACCAGTACACCTATCTCAAATTTCTCATCATCTAGGAAATAACGTCACCTGATGCAGAGGAGTATTTAGGTACAGAAGTAGTGTACAGGAGAGAATCACTCTACTGGAGGTCAGAAACTTGCAAAGGAGGTGGTGTTTGCATAGGTTTTCAAGGATGAACAGGAGTTTGTCAGAAAAAAAGCCGAGGGAACAAAATAGAGGACAAAACAAGTGCAAAAATAAAGAAGCATAGTGCGGCCTGGCAGCTTCAAGTGGTATTGCTATATAGAATATATGAAGTTTGAGTCAAGAGTGTGCGAAATGATGTGCTTTGAGTTTTTCATTGTCAGGATCATCATATGCCTACAGCAGCAACTTGTTAATTTTCATGTCTGTTATTATTTAAGGCCTAGTATTTTTCTTTAGTATCCTGTTAAAGTGTTACCTATGTGCCACTGTGTCTTTTGTTGTCGTTGCTATAGGGTGTGTGCACTCACCAGAGAGCGATAGGGAGAGAGGGAAAGTGAGAAATCACACACATATACGCACACACCCAGGAAGATGGCCATGGTGCAATCCCTTCTCCTTTCTCCTATCGGAATTTTGGGCACGCACACACACACACATATCTGGTGTGATATTCAGGCTTTGAACCACGCAGAACTCGAGGGACTCAAACCACTGAGTTGTCCAGGTGGGAGTCCAGCGCCTTAACTACCATGCCACCTGCTGGCTCCGTGTCACTATATCTTAACTCCTAAGTGCTTGTATACCATATGTCTACTTCGGTCATCCATGGCACCTGTTTTATACTGGTTTCTAAGGGTGGTGGACAGAGGAGTTACAGCTTTCACTTATATCAATATGATCATTTAAATTTTGTAATTAGATTTGCATGTAATAATTTTTTGTTATTTGCATATAATTTGTAAATCTATTGGTGTTTAAGGGACTAAGATGAAAATAACATCACAATTTTGTTATTCACAATAACACTATGCTATATAATTTAGTTCAGGAAATAAGTTTTTCTACTGTCTATACAGTAGTACAATATTTAGAAACTATCATATAATGGGGAAAAAACAGGAAAAGGATCTCTTTTTTCATATCTGAGAGAAAATAATTTACACTCATGTAGTGTCTGGCCTTAGCTCTTCAGAAGAGAGAAATCATAGAGAAATGTTTTCAATATTTTCTATTCATCATAAAATTTGAAAGCATAAGCAAAAAGAAAAGCTACTTGTAAAATGAATATACTACTTTAAAATTGAGTTATCTGGGAAATACTGTGAAAGAAATTTATATTAATTTATCTATAACTTCTTTTTTTAAGGATGCCGGGCAATTTTACGCTAAATACAGAGAAACAAGATTGAAGGAAAAGGAAGATGCACTGGCTAGAACTGAACTTGAAACACTTCAAAGTGAGTTTTAAACATTGTCTTACTCTGTTCACAATATCATATATAACTTCTGAAATTAAAAAATGAAGTAGATAATTTTTAGAGGATTTGATACAAGTTTACTATTAGAAGATAGCTAACCTACGAGTGGGAGTT